ATAAAACTTAGTGGGGGAAAATGAATGGTGAGGCGCCATAATTTCGCATCCGAGCGAAACTAATTTCGAATTCAGCACACACGGTTAGAGTTATATTAGCAATATGCGGCTAAAAGATACCCCTTCTAAGCAATTTTTCTTCATTGTGATATTTAATTATATCTAAATATTTCTTGTTAATATAATCAATGAAAACAAACACTGAATTGAAAACAAATTAATAAAAATAACTTTGTTCTTACCCTGTGAACAAGTGATTAAGTTGAATAAAGCATGTTTATGAAGTGAATACAAAAAATAAATAATTTTAAATAAACTTTAAAATTTCTATAATTTCAGGAATTTATTTAGTTTAGTGTCTGAAAAAATGTACTGCAAGAATTGAACCGGAAACATACCTTTGAAAGCTATGTGCAGAAAGCTGTTAGCTTGTTGCTCTCTCTTACCACGGCCAGAACAGCAGTGGCTACTTTCGACCAGGCCAAGTCGTGCGTGTCTTTAAATTCTGTCCCAAAAAACGACAGACCTAAACCGTAGTTTTCGGGTATAAGTGGGCGTTGAGGTATGAAATATGCACAGGCCACAAGTCGATGTTCCTAGCGAAAGTCTCGGCGTTGAGCCTTCGCTTAGGCTGCTTATTAAATGTCTCTGGCAGGAATAAGGTGGGCGGGCAAGTAAACACCTTGGCCACGCCCCGTTTTACGGCCTTTACGTGGGCCGAACACTGAGCAGGCTTTTATTTTGGGGCAATGGCGAGGGGGGAGCATACGGAAAGTAAAAAGGATTCCCTCGACGAAAGCAGCTTTATAAGAAGTTGATTTTGTCTGCTTTCGGCCTTTCGGAATTTCTATTTGTTTGCCAGGCTCAAAACGAAAGTGAAAGGAGATTGGGCGGTTGAAAGCGAGAGGGTTAGGGTAAAAATGGCAAAATAAAACCAATTGAAAAATTTATTTGCTTTCATAAATGAAATTGAAAATGATTTTCCCGTCTTCCAGGGTTCCGTTCAATTTTTCGTTTTCGCTTTCGTTTTTGCTCACGCTTCACTTGCCTCGATATTTGCAGTGCGGCAATATAATTGCTGGCGAACAGCAACGATATGTGAAATATTTATGGCCCTAGTTCCGAGTGTTAGTTGTGGTTAATGAAAACTGAACAGGAATGGCAATATCCAAGCTTTTCGTATTACCCAATATTGAAATATTTTTGAGTTGCCCGTATTATGGTATTAACTGCTCAATACATTTCCCATTTATCATTTCTTATTGTCGTTCAGACTTTTATAGCTTACAATATAAGTTGAGAATTATTTAACTTGGCAATGAGAAAACATTCCAAAAATGAGAGGAATAAAGGAAATCCTTACAATTAATCAGACATTTTAACAAACCATTTGAGTTTGAAGTTCAATTAGTCAATTTTAATCGGAGAGCATTAATTGTTGTATACAATTTTGTAATGTTGAATTACTTATCTTCCGGAGAAGATTATTTTAACTTTCTGCATAACTTAGAGATAAATTGTGCATATTTCACCTGTTGTCCCTTTCTCCTATCTTTTCCACCTTTTCCTGTTAACTTTTTATCCGCAATAATTTCCAAGAAGCGGTAATGACATTATTTTACAATGGAAACACCTGTGTAACTCAGCGTTCCTTTTCGATTCTTATCCCATTTCCATTGTCAACTTGGGAAGCATTTTCCCTTTCGCTGGCTTTGACTTTAAAAACCGCAGTCAATGGCCTTCGCCCCCGGCTGACAGCCCTCAACATCAATTCTCGAAACGAAACATAAAACTTTTTCCTATGAATGAGGATGGCCGAAGTGGTTCGAAAGTGGAGGGGGAGCCTTAACCAACAACCGATATCAGTATAATATAACAACATAACTTTCTGAACTTTATGAGCGTCGATTGCTGTTGTCATTTCGCTTGGCTGCCGTTAATGTGGCTCCTTGTTGTGGTTGCTGCTGTTTTTCATTCTGCGGCCAAAGTTGAAGAAGTTTCGAGCGCCGCGGTTTTTGAAAAACTTTTGTCTTTTGATTTTGCCTGGCTGCAAGACAGAAAAGTATAAGACTTGAAGAGTTTTCTTTGGACTAAAAAGTTGATGTCGATTTGTTGTGGTTACCCTGTCGCTTCTTGTTTACGTTGTGGTAGGGTTTTGCTCAATATGTATAGCAATATATTGATTTACGCCAATAGCAGTGCCAATATCATATTCCTGGTATACCGTTGGGTTTACCTCTCTCATTGCCGGCACCTGTAATTAATCACATTTGCATGTGGCTGGGGCTTCACTCATTATGCACACAGAAACACGTCAGGATGCTGGCACCACAGGGAACAAAGGTCCTTTTCATGTGGATTTTACTCTGACAGTTTTGCTGAAATCCGATGCCGCACAAATGTGGGCGCCGGGTTCCATATGGCTCATTGGCTGATTTGATTGATCCAACTGGTGACACCTCTCTGGGGATTTGGCTCGGGGTAAAATCGAAAAGGGAGGGGGTAGCAGGTTTGCCCCAGCTGTGTCGCGCATTTGTCTAAAATGTCAAATACAAATATTTGTTTGGTTCTTGTTTGTGTTCCGTTTTAGCATTCCTAATAAACATTGCGCTTAGAAAGCAAGTAGAAATTGCGACGGTGAATCGAGGAGCTGGGGGCGTGTCACGATTGCCTATTTACATAGAGACAACAGGCCGAGAGTACACAACACACATTGCCTTGTTTATCGACAGCCGAAATAGATGCTCCTGTTGCTGATGTTTGCACTTTGGCCCCGAAATGTTTTGGGGTTCCATTAATTACATTGTCAATAGATTTGAATTTGGGTGGGACGCATACATGTATGCGTACGTCTTTGTCAACTTAATGAACTAAATGTATTTCTAGGGGTATGGTTATTGATAGGGGTCTTGGTCTTGGTCTTGACAAGCATATCGTATTACAAAAGGCACAACAATGGTTTTTGCGGTTAAAGTTTTCGCTTTATAGTTTCTGATTATTTGGAAATTATATGAACTCTGACTGTTTAATTAATGAGCTCAGTGTAGTTGTGAAATTGAATTGAAAGGGGTCTTTCGGTATTGAGATAATTACAAATAATGTTAAACATTAATTTTGGAAATTCCTAATTTAATGGCCTCCAGTGACTACCCCATTCTTGTCCTGCTAATTGTTAAGATATATGGACTGCTATTGATTTCCATAACAAATGAATAAATAACTGTTTTTGGCTTTGTCACTGCCATAAAACAAGAAAAAACCCCTCCAGCCAACTGGGCGTATACGTAATACACTCATAAATGCAATCCTGCTACTCTCACCGGGAAATAAACATGGCGCAGCGCTCACTCCTACAAATCCTTCAAAAAGCCAACTTAAGCTGACACAAACACACTTGCACATGCACACGAAACCACACATACACATAAAGCAGGGAGTGGCGAGGGGCCAGGACACACATTAACGTATCAATGGCTTATTGGAAGAACAGCCAACTCGACTACATCCCCATATAAATAACTCTCTCCCACTCCAAAATGTCCCCATCGTTCGTTTTTTTCGGGTTTGAGTACGTGTTCGAATTGAAATCCAATGCCATTGGCAAGCTTATCGAAGCCCCAATTTTGCAGCGCCTGTTGTGATTCGGGAGCCGTCAACCTGTGAAATAAATCAATAACAATACCAGTATAAATTGTTAACTGACAATATTCATTTCATATTCATTTGAAATTTGTATACTTTGTATTAACAAAATACAAGTAAGGAGTTATTTGTAAGCTAATGACTAAAACACAATTCTGCAACTTGGGAAATATTCTTTAATTACATGCTGTCGATTTTATAAAGCAGAAAAAAGATATACAAAAATGTTCAGTACGCTAAATTTAGTATGTGCCAACCGAACTCAGTGTTACCCCGCCAAAGTACAGTCCAATCCAAGCTGACCGCAGTGACCAGTGAAAATGGAGTCGCGCCTAATGAACATGGACATACAAATTGCGAATATGCCCCGCTGGTTGGCCATTAAGGCCAAACAAAATGGATTTTTGAGGGCATTAAAAATCAGTTTCGGCCGCCGAAATGAAAAAAACATAATAGCGAATCAATAAAGCCCCAGTTAAGTGGAATTGGGTAGGCCTGCTGTTGGGTCAACGTTTCGGTGAATGTGGTTAGGTGCCGAGTGTTGGTGGTTAAATGCCAGTGAATTTTCCAGTGCCAAAAGGACCAAGCGCAATTTCGTCTGTCCCTGCAGCTTTTGGTATTTTAAATATATTTTCATTCTATAAAAACATAATTCCTGTGTACCAATCCAAAATGATGTACTCAATACAATATGTCATATTTATTTATATTGTAAGCTAAGTTCTTTTTCCCACAAGCTTTAATGCCTTTCAAGTTTTTCGTTTGTTTAAAATTGAAAACAAAATGTATTGATTCTTGAAGTGACTTCTGAAATAGATAAGTATAGATACTCAGAAGCTCAGAGTTCAATAAGACGTTATAATATTGACATTTATATATTTATGCGTTCATATACATACAAATTCAATAGATGTTTTAGGAGCTGGTTAAACTGGTAGATTGACTAATACCCTAGAACCCTATAAAATTCCACAATGCCTTTTTAAGCGACAATATTACAATTTGATTATTTTAATAGAATGCTAATGCTTTACGATGCAAATTTTATAGCCTCCTGCCAGGGCATAAAAATTGTTTACGTGTCATTTCAATTCGACGATAGTTCAGCGCTTTGATCTTTTTATACTATTAATCATCTACCTAGACTGTTACTCTTAAAAATGCATTAAATTAAAAGTCAATTATTCCCAATAATCTAATACAAATTGTATAATGCCCTATCAAGGCATAGCATTGGTTTAGTTATACTTTAATTCTACGAAATCATCCCTCGAATTGTTCATTAATGTTTTTATTGTACCATATCAACTCGATTATTCAAACTGAAGCCCTAAATAGACATTTGAAGTTCTCAGAAGCTCTAAACTAATTATAAGAAATAGACGGTAAAAAATGGATCCCAAAATCGTTTTAATTTTCTTGGCTCTCGTGACACTTTCCACCACGACCATGGCCTACGATGAAGGTACTTTTACAACTTTAAAAAAATCATATTTTTCGGTAATATTTGTTATTTGCAGTAAGGTGCGATGCTCCTCCAAGCGTGCCAGGACGATGCAGGGCCTTGTTTCGCAAGTGGGTCTTTAAAGGAAAAATATGTCAGAGATTGTTATATGGCGGGTGTGATGCCACAGCCAACTTATTTGAATCAAGAGAAGAATGCGTAGCAGCTTGCAAAAAGCCAAAAAATGTTAAACCAAAAGTCATTAATCAAAATAAAAATGTAACATAAAGTCTTGTAGGACATTAAAACGGAATTGCATATGGTAACAGAATCGTCATCAGATACCACAAATTTTTTTCTACCTGATTAATTTAATTTTTAATTTTTTGATTAATGTTTAATTTTTATTCACAAAGATCTGAAAAATTACAATACTGCATGGAAATGACAATAAGTTTAGTCACACTTCGATTCGATCATCTGATTTATTAATAATGTTTATTTACCATGAACAAAACTGTAGTGATTCTCAGTGCTTGGCAACATTCAGAATAAGACTATATAACATGAATTTAAAATTAACACTTACACCTTTAGCGCTCGTGTTATTTTGCACTCTTACCATTGCCTACGAGAAGGGTATGAAATTGAATACATCATTTTAGTGTTAGGGCTGAAATCAAGTTTGTTATTTTTTAGAGAAATGTGACGCTCCTCCAACCAAACGCGGCGTTTGTACGGCCCGTTTTCGCAGGTGGGTCTTTAGGAACGAGCAATGTGAAAAGATTATTTTCGGTGGATGCTTTCCAACAGAAAACTATTTTCGTAATATTCATGACTGCGAGGCAGCATGCATTGATTAAAACAATTTCCGTATAAAGAAAATGATAAAATCTAAGGGGTTTCTCAAACGATTTTAATTTAATTGTTTAACATAAGACCCTAAATAACACTGCATTAATTCTGAAAAACGGTATATCATTCTCAATACATTTAATTTCTTTACGTTCTTGTGACATCTAGCACTATTATCATGGAATAAAATAAATTAGTCTGGCACATCAAGTGAAATTATATATTTGCAGTCCTCCTCTTTAAGTATCTGATGTTTGTATTTATTTAATTTTATTTACGGCTTGTCAAAATTCGTATTTTAAAATTTGTTATACTTAAAGATAAAAAGAAAATATCCAATTCTAATATATAAAACTTCCTAAAGTAATGTAATAAGCTTATTCGTGTTTTTCCCCTGTAACGATACATTAAAAGTGGCGTAAGAGTATTCCATCCTATTTCTGCCTCTTCAATTTAATATTAGCCTTGAAATTACAGATTATTTGCATTTAGTTTCGCCCAAATAGGGAGTATTTGGCAACTTTACAGTAATGACATTTTGGCAAACCAGTATCCAATACCCATTGGTCAGAGCAAAATGGTTCAACAAGTTGTTTGGCTTTCCATTATGATCGTAATGCTGTATATGGTACTTTCGAGCGCTCAAAGGGGTGAGAAAAATCTAAGCTCAACTCAAATGCATTTCTAATTCACAAGCATAACCCAAGAAAAGTGTGAGAAGAGGCCTACGGTGACTGGATCATGTAAGAACTACAAAATTAAATGGTTTTACTCCAGCAGCCTTAAGGAGTGCATTATGTTCCACTGGGGCGGCTGCAACCACACGGAGAATATTTTTGATAACGGGGAGGATTGCGAGGCTCAGTGCATGGGTCTAGGTGAGGTAAAGAGTGCTGTCTAACCGGAATCCCCACCTTTGCCCTGCCGAAATAATCAAAAACTTAGGGAAAATTCGAAAAGAATCTAAAATGAAATTTAAGTGTGGGACTATTATTGGTCTGATTTTGTGTGTGGTAGTGGTCTGGTCCTTCAATGCGCGTAAGTTGGTGTGTGGTAAAAAGTCAGATTAACGTCGGTTAACATCCACATCCATTTCCCAGAGAAATGCAATGATGAACCAAGTCAAACTGGACCCTGCAAGGCCTCGTTCCAAATGTGGCGCTTCATCAAGGAGCGGCAGGAGTGCGAGTCCTTTACCTACGGCGGTTGTCTGGGCACAAAGAATATATTCGAACTGGAGTCGGACTGCAGAGAGCAGTGCCTGAGCTAGGGATCAAATTTAATAATAACATTTAATGCCCACTGGGGTCGGTCGTCTGATGAATTTCACAAAATAAAAGTTTTCAGCTGCCGTAAAGTTTCTGACGCTTTGCACTCTGGCCGAAAATATTATTTGTCTGCAAAGTTGAAATAGATTTTTCAACAATTTTTCGTGGCTATTTTCGGGGAGACGAGCGCTATGCAAATGAACTGCAGACGGGTTTTGATTTATGCTGATGGAAATTGAGTTGGCAAAAATAACATTATATATAGTTGGCCTTGCCACTGGAAGGGGAGTGTGATAATAGGCTGCAAATCTGGCACCCGGCGATTTGCCACTAAAATGCATTCGGTGTATTTTTCATGGGCTCGCACACATGGCGTATGCTTAATCAGATGAGCGGGATGGGCGGCCATTTCGCCATGGTCGTGTCGGATCAACTGAAACCACCACGCCCAGACCCGCCCTCGCAATTCAATCAGTTCGAAGCTGCTAGCCTTCAATACCGCTGCGGTTGACCCCACTTAGTATGCAGGGCCCAACACAAATTAAAACCAGGCAAAACAGAAGCTGCAAACTGTGTTATTGTGTGTTTGCTGGCTGTCGGTTATTAGATTTTCCGACAACAGACAAAGTTCACTTGTCGCTTACATCACATGTTACCAGAGCTGTCGCCATGTTTTCCTTTTTCCCGCTTTGCCCGCTTTTCCTTTCCGTTTCCCGTTTTGCCCGGCGTTGTGTGCGAATGTGTGTGTGTGCAGGGGAATAAAATTCATTAGCAATTTGCACGCCAGCAAGCGGGTGAAGAGTGCATCCCAACTGACGGAAAACAACAGAGCCAAAGCCAGGGAGATGGTGACAGATTGACAGGCTCAGACTGGCAGGCGTTCGTAGAACAATAAAAGCAATTTTGAATAGCCGCCATACACAGTCTTTATATACGTATGCAACAAAATGATGGCACTGTAAAATACTTAACATTCGTTTTCCAAATTGAGCATTTATAAAATTAGGTTTTTTTTTATAGAGAAAGTAGGAAAACTGCAATGGTATACTTTCCTATTTTGTTGCCCCGAACCTTATAATTTCTGTGGTAGTTTTATGACTCAGCAGCATCGATAAAATTTAAAATTGTATTTTGAAAATTAACTTCAGAGGAGATTCCCTCATTTATGCAATTAAAAATAAAAAAAACATATAAACACCCCATCTTTATTTTTAGAAAAACTTTACCTTACGTTTTGCAATGCTGAACACTGTATTTAAACCATATAGTAACAGTGAAAATTCAGAGGTTGGACAAACACTATCGCTTGAAGCTCAGGCTCTCGGTTGGAGAGCAATATGCCTTGATGTGATCGCAGTCCCTTCTACCTAGTGCCATATCGGATTGGTAGTCGATCGGGTAGACGATGGGCTGGCGATCGACACCCCACAAGGGCGGCATGGCAAGGAGATGAACGTCGGGATCCAAGTTCTTGCCGCAATTGCCAAACGACCTGAATCTCGCTGGCTTGTGTACCCTGTTATAAGGGTCTTTGAAGTGATCCCTGTAGTCCTGGCAGTCCAAGTAAAAAGCATCAACTCCCCGCACTGAGGCGTAGTCCAGAACTTTTAGACCAGGTTTGTCGCATTTAAAGATTGTCAGACGGTGTATACGACTACTCTTGGACACATTCCACATGTCCACTTCTGGGATGAGCATCTTAATTCCCCGACTGGCTGAATATCACTTTAAAAACGAGAACTTTTTAAAGAAATTGTATTTGATGTTTATCGTGTTTTATCGTGTAGCTGAATGGGCTTTGTGCTGGCAAAAGTCAAATGACGTTATTTTCCCCTGAGCCACAGCCTACTTAAGCCAACAGCAATTAACAATTTTACTTCATACTACGTAGTGATTTCCGATTTTTATTTCGCTTCCGCTGTCTTTAATCACTTAAAAGAAAAAAGCTGCATAGCTGCAGTCGCTTGGAAAAACATCGTTTATCTTAATCCAATTCTAAAGATGGTAAAGATGCATCTAAGAGTAGGAGCACTCGAATAAAGCGTTTCTTCTTTCTTTCCCCAAAAATGGCAAGCCACTACAGTTGATTTAAATTTACTACGTATTGACTTGTATGCAAGCCAATGCATTTAGACGTGGGCCTCAACCACATAACGGAAAAGGGGAAGTGCATTAGATGCAATGTGAGAAACCAATTTAATTCTATTAACCGTATTTACCTTATAACAAATGGGAGAAAAATGCGATGAGTGAGTGTACACGAGCATGTCAGCCAACTAAAGAGAAGCCTATTGATCCATTAAGTGAAAGCCTTTTAGCCACAGAAGCAGAAACGCAATCAATCAGTACTCGGTTGCCTTGACTTTGTTTGTCCACACATAAGCAAAGTGGGAAAAGTAAAACAATGCTAGCCAGGCAAGAAGGCTTAGGGGTTAGGGGAAAATGTCGCCTGCCATCAATTAGCTGGGCTGTGTTCAGTCAATTGTCTGCCATAAACTGCAGAGGCCGAGACTGCCAGCCAGAATTAATTAGTACTTTTATTGCGCATACGACTCATGGTGCAGATGGCCATAATAACGAACCATCTATTTGCAGATACATATCCTGTTTCCTTGGAACAGGTGGACTGATCATCAAACTTTTACAACTTTTTGGTTTTCCATGTCTTTACTGATTATAAAAAAAGGGCAAACTTTAAAACATTTAAAAATTGAGGTTATTAAATCAATATTACAAAGTAAAGTACTAAATGGTCTTTACATTTTTTTTCCCTACCTTGCAAATCATTTCTCTCTTTATGTTTTCCTATGTCAGAATTAAATAATTATCAGGCCTTTACATATTTATATAGTTAGTGAGTAATTTATTAATCTAATTAACGCGAGGACTGACACTTGATAAATTGGCCGTAAGAAAAAATATATGGAAATGTGAGAATATATTCACAATAAGCCATTAAGTCATTGATTGATTTAACCCTAGATTCGCGTCAGACACTCCAGCCAGAGACCCAGTTCAAAAGGGCGTCTTAATGGAAAAGCAGGTTCGAGATTGCTTCCCCAGCTTGTTGCCCAAGTTTATTCCCCCAACTACGTCAGTGGCAGCTTTATATGCTCAAACATAAATCATGCATGAATGTGGAAGAAAAGTGATTTCAGTGGACTGGGAGCGAAGACACTAGCATACACAACTTTGTGCACAATCCAACGAACAACAGACGGTGGCAAATTGCCCAACAAATCAATCAAAGACATCTGACAGATACTAGAGGAGTCGAGGAAAAGTTCGGAATGCTTCACAGGACATGTAAATGAAAGCGAGATGAAAAAGAAATGCTCCGGACTGCCATTAAAGCGGCTTGTTGAATGGAGCAGACAACACCGATGAACGGACATGACGGCCAATGATGCAGTTCAATTACTTAGGCTTCGATCAAAGTTTAAAGTTGTAAAGATGAAGGACTCATAAATTATTCAGCTCCGGACCTTAAGTCGAACCCCAAACATGAAGGGGCCCAAAGGACTCTCCATTATCTCCCTGCTCTTAAAGCTCTTTTCATACGGAACAATAATATTTTAAATTATGTTTATTCGCCATGTGTAACGAGGCATGCATTTTAGCTTTTGAATTTCATATTTACTAGCAAACATAATAATGCCATCGTTAATTTTCTAGCTACTTTGCAAGTGCCTGGGGCGCCAACATAAACATTAAAACAAATTATTCCAGCTCAAGTGAACTCAACTTCCAATCGACTTCATTATGCCACCTGCTCCCTCAGAGTGGAGGCCTTAGATTCCGCCGTCTCCCGGTCGCCACCTGCTCATCTGGATTGGGATCCGCCTCTGCAATCTCAACTTTAATTGCCGAGACTGCTCCTACATTTTTCCACCTTTTCCCCTGTTGTTTACTTTGCCGCTAAGAATTTTCTTCGCCAACTTTTATACTGAAGCTCTGTTTATTCTCGTTTATTTATTTTTCTCTGAGACTGCGCATATTTTGCCTCCAAATTAATTGTTGACATTTGCATCAAAAAATAAGAAAACGAAAGCATTGGTTCCTGCGGGCCTGTAGACGGGTTTAATATTCCATGTAATACCCTAGAACAAGGTATTGCCACTTTGAACAGCAGAACAAAGTAGAAAGAAAGCATACACAAATTCAAAGTACAAAAAATAATTGTGTAAATTTATTGCTTACTATAGAGAAAATTTCTTAGGTCATCCAAATGAATCTATGCAATCATTAATTTTGCTAGAGTATTATATGAGTCGGTCATGCTTTTTTTTTTCTTTGTCTTGTTAATTAGGAAAACTCTATAAGAAATGTTATTTGGTTTGTTTGTATCCAGTTGGTTAAGTGAGCGTTTGTTCAACTTGATTGGCGGTTGAAAGCGATGCGATACAGAAATAATTGTGAACAGATTGAGCAACTGATTTAATCGACTGAATGCTGTAATTGTCAATTATTTTTGTTTTTTTTTTTTTAACTAATCGCTATATTAAATTAATTTATTGAAGTTTAATGTTTTTGAATAAAAAAAAATGTTCCTCATTATTAAATTAGAACCACAACAAGCGTTTCGGGGCAAAAAAGCTTTAATAGCAACCACAAAATATCAAACTACTTGTTAAAATAATTCAGCGCAATCATGTTGATTTTAATTAAAGCAGAATCTTCTACATGCATTCAATATACACGATTTTCAAGCGGACCCCCTGCCCCTTTGAGGTGAAAAAAGCATACGAAAATGTCAATATGTAAACATTTTATATGTGCAAACTTTTTCCCAACTTTCGGAAAACTGTAAGCATAAAAAATGAAACTGCAGAGAACGACTTCCTTTCCGGACATGGAGACACAAAAACCTGTCGCCCCACGGTCACCAAACCGATCCGCAACCTTCCCTGCCCACCTAATCATTCACCAAATGCATTACACAAATTGTTCGTTTATGGCAGGGCACAGGCAGAAGTTCAAGCGACAACCGCACATAAAAACTATTACGAGGACTTCAGGTTCCCGGCGAAGCCAAATAGTTTGTCTCCGTAGCCCGTTTCCTGTCCAAAGGTGGAACATCTGTCAGCGGCATTCGGCGCGACATGCAGCTCAGACATGTGGGCGACAACCGGACATTTTGGCAGCATTCTGTGGCTCGACTGCAGGCTGAAAAGGAAATGACTGATTCGAGAGTAGCAACTGATAAATTTCTGTTTGATAAATAATAAACTAATTTAATACAACAAAATTTAAAAACATGCCAATAGCGTTGAACTGAAAGAGATATAATGTATTTAACAACTTATGTTATCTTATCATGACCCAACAATAATAAAGTCAATTAAGAAAAGTTTATATAATTGTTTAAAAACTTACATAATGTTATACACATTTTTTTTATGTTTTTCAGAAAAAACTGTTATTCAAAAAAAATTGTACTTAAAAACTGATTCTATCTTCGTAGAATAAGATATTAAATACATTAAGCTCACGCGTTTCATGGCTTTAACAAAAAATTAATATATAATTTAAATTGTGCTAGCGAAATGAATGTCTACAGCATTCAATATAATTTAAAATCGTAATAACTAATTAGTTTTACAGCAAACAAAGCTTGACCTTGTTGACTATTAATTAATTTAAATCTAACACACCATCATATCTTTGTAGACGTTTTATATTTTTAGAAAAACCAATATACCCTTAAACACTAGCTCCAGTTGGTGAAAAAATCGCATCGAAATCTATCCGACAAACATGTTCCTCTCGAGCGCAGGGACAGGACCAAAAACACGGACAGGGACATGTCTCACTCCCATAAACGGATTGACATTTCAATCTCTGGTGGAAAAGGGTGCACTTACATTGGGTGAGACTTGTGCATTCCCCAGCTCTTTGAACGTCGCTTTATCGTCTTATTTCGTGCATATTTCACAAATTGCATCCGTTTGTCGCATTTGGCAGCCATGTTGCATAGCTGAACAACTTCCGCACGACTGATTGTGAGTCAATTACAAAATTGCATTTTCGCCCACGGGGTTAGGAAAACCACCACAAAATCCAAACCGTTCCAAAATTTTCCGTTAGCCGCGCTTTTCAGTTTTGCTTATTTGTAAAAGCCAAGGATTTTGGAAACTTTTTTTTTTAAATTGGCTGCCAAAATGTAGGCGAATATGAAGCAGCCTGTTCCGTTCGGAGTTGCAAAAGTTTGTGGCGAAAGTATTGAGCTACATTTGCATACATATTTACCATGCCTGAAGCAAAAAGTAAACTCTTTTTTGTTTTCAAATTAATTTTAATTACATTTAACTAGAGCCATAAGTTTTAAGCATTTCTCTTAGAGTTAAATATATTTGTTATAAAACAAATATTTCAGACAATAACTTTTTTGCATTTCAAGTGTTCAACTTTTAATATTCAAGGCACTTTAAAAAATATTTTTGATCAAAAAAATAATTATGTTTCGAACTCAATGTTGATTGACTTATTCCTTGTTATTTAAATATTTCTAAACAACAATAAAAACTTGTTTTTATAAAATTGATTAATTTTATAGGAACGTTTATGAAAGCTAAAGCACAAAGACTTCATGTTTTTTAACGCGATTCTATAATAACCTTAAATTTTAATATATAGATTTTTTTGTAGAGTTAAGTCTCTTTGCTCGTGTGGTAGTTATAGCTTATTGAAGTCCAATAAAAGTTAAAAAAAACCTATTAAAATATTTATTTAAAAAAAATGGAGAAAAAAATAACGCTTTTTGCGGGCTAAGAATTGTAAAGTACCCTACCAATTTATGTTTAAATTCTTCTATTTGCTCGGAAGTTAAACTCACTCAGTAAGCACATATTTAATACCAGAATAATCAATTCTAATCAAAATTAACCACACTTTATCTCAATAGAGAATATTTCTAAAATTCCGAGTAAAACATTTGAGGGTTGCCCAAAGCTTTCCCAATGAACCGTGAGTTGGTCCCCTTTTCCCTATTGAAACCATTAGCAACATCCACTTTGAGGGTCCCAAACTAGCCCAAGTCGAAATTGCTTGACCCTCTGGACGAAGCGAAGATTTGCGCCAGAGGCACGTAGGGTAAATAAATTTTGTATGACATTGCCGGGAACCTAGAGCATGAATCCTTGACTCCTCGCAAGGAAGAAGTATGAGGTGGTGGCCATCAAAGTAGCGCAAATTTGTAACGGTAATTTAGCCTGTGCGTCCACCGGATTTCAATTTTGGGGAGATGAGACTGCTAAGTAGTCAGGACCATATTTCACGCACCGACTACAAAACAGACATTGCCACGCCCAGTTGGTAAGCAGCCATCTCCCAGCCCCTCGGGGAAGCACCCACAAACAGCCGCCCCATCCATTAGATGCCAAATTGAATTAAATATAAAAATCTCTTGCACGCAATTGAGAAATGGAAAAGTGCAAAATAAATTTATAGACATAAATGTGAGTACAGAGAGAGAGAGAGAAAGTGAAAATACTTTTCAGGACTTTTTACGACTTCCATAGAAATTAAAATGCCATTTAATGCTGGCAGAATATAAATTAAATGTCCGCATTTCGTTTGGAATTTTGCGTTTTATGTTTATTTCCTACGGTGTCCCAGGCTCAAATTGGGGGTCCGTCTAAAGCTGGGGCTCTGCAGTTGCCCGATTTGCCGGTAAATTGAATTGGCATAAAGACAAACCTAAAGCGAGTGTCTCAATTTGTGTGCCCCAACCTGCCAATCCAATCGAGAGTCTTGTCCCGTTTTATAGCTGCAGATATATACCCGATGCCGAAGTCAAAAACCGTGCGATTTGTACTATAGTTCAGTTTGCAAGGCGGGTGGGGGCCATTGGGGAGGCTACTTTGTTGCCAATTGTTTATGCCATTTAAATTTGTTATGCCCATTTTATGTCTCTTTGTGGTTTTATGGCCAAACTTTTATTTATGTCTTTCCCCCGCTTGAGTATTCGGTCACGCCAATTGCATTTGATTACATTTTGTTTGCTAAGTTGAGCGCCAAAGATGAGTGTGTCTCGGTTTGTGGTTTATTCCCCTTATTTATGGCAAATTAATTTCGAAAATAAATCTTCTAAAAAAATAAAGAGCAGTCCAATGACGTTTTAATTGAGTGAAATTTTCTTCTGTGTAAGTTTGACATTTACACCGAATCACGTTCCAGAAGGTGGAGTAACTGGGAGATTTGGAGGATGAGGAGGATGACCTCCCGTACTTACCTGTGTAAATTAGATATTGCAGTTGGCACTGAGATTGGGCCAGATAAAGGTTACCTGCCGTGTTGATTTGCGACATTTAAGAAGATTTACGGCCACTCCTCGCCAGCAAATGGATTCCCGGCTTCGAAGCTGGCTTAAACGGAAACTGCAGCGGGGACGAGGTCCAGCAAGGAGATTTGAGCCTGGCAAATGGCCGAAAGTCATTAAGTTTGCGCCTCGGTGGAAAAGCAATGAGATTTCCTCAGCTGCAACTGGGATAAGCAATTTGCTTTGCATACAAATTGAAAAATAAGCATACTCTTAGTACCCAAAATGTGCAAAGCCTTTTATTTTTTATTTTTTTAACTAATTAAATAATTTATTTTTTATTATAGTTTTTAGAAAGTTTTGTGGAAGAAAAAAAAGTATACAAAACTCGCCACAATTACAACTTATTTTTAGGAGTGCTTTAATTTGGTGTTCTGTCAAAAAGTTTTGGATGCATCAGATTAAATCACTTTGGCACATAAACGTTTTTAAATTATTTAATCTTCAACATATTGCAAACGGTGAGAAGCGAGAAAAAAGCAAATTAAAGAGCTTAATTTTAGGCATTCCTATTTGGGAAGGTCGCCTTCAAGAAACAGCTTGGTTCTTATATCCGACTGAGGCTGACATAAATATAATTACAGTTTCATTTCCGTTCTAGCTCGAAAATGGGAATTGGGCCAGAAACGACAACTTGGCTAAGATGGAAACACGTGGCGCATTAGGACACGTATTTTCTCGTTCTTCAGCGAAAAACCATTTGCTTACAAATGGAACTCAAGCCCTCAAGATGCAGCTACATGTCCTGATTATTTTCCAGAGCAGTGAACTTAAAAGTGGATAATTATTTGAATGTAAATGACCTACAAAATTACCAACGAACTTAATATATTTTGGTGCACAGAGAAATTTAGTCAATATCAGAGTTGTGCCTACAAGCATTAGCATTGATATCCAATTATCATAAAAATAAATATTAATGCTAATAACATAAATTTTCATCCACAAGATAGTCAATAAAAAAATCGTTCTGAAAAAATATTTCATTAGATTTCTCCAAAGTAATGCCAACAAAAAATATATCATTAGCATTTAAAATATTTAATGATTATGAAAAACATTCAATTACATGTTAACGTAATGCTACTGAAAAAATATTTCATAAGGTTTTCAAAAGTAATGCTACTGAAAAAATCATTTATTAGATTTTCAAAAATCTAATGCTAATGAAAAGTCTTGGCATCTATCTTGCAACTGTTTTTGTTTGGTATTATAAAATAAATCTCAAAATGATTTATCTAGATCTCCTTGGCCAAGATTCTTAATCAGTAACAGAACAGCTTAGCAAGATTATTGCATTTTACTTTATTTCTAACACAGTGTGTATCTCAACGTAAGAAAATTAAGGCAAATGATGAGAAAAGCCTGTGAAACACAATTTCAAATTCAACGTGCAATATTTTCTCGACTGAGATATGCCTGATTTTCCATGGACATTTACCAAACATTGTACACTGCATTTGCACCACTACCGCATCAACTTAAAACCCATGTAAATGGCGAAGGCCATGCAGCAGCAGAAGAAATTGCAGCGCAGCTTTTCCGCATCGAGTTTTCCGTGGCGATCGCAGCAGAGTAGATGGAAGATGTGGCGACAAAACCCAGAGTAGGATCGGGAACTCGGACCGCTCTGACCCTGCTCCACTGTTCCCTCCTCCTCGTCGCTGTCGTCGCGCAGCTCCACCCTGCCCATCAGCTCCAGCATTCCATCATCCACGCGCGACGGAGCCTCGCTCAGGTAGTTTATGGTCTTCAGCTCGCGCTCCTGCACCAGATCCTGCTCCGTGGTGCGCTCCGCCTCGGGGATCCGCTCGTCCCCCGCCGCCTCCCTCCCCAGCCACCACCAACGCCGAGGGCGTGGCTGCGTTCGCGCCATCGGCACTTGATTGGTGAACTCGTGATAAACGCTTGCCAGGCTGTGAAAACTCATAAAGCCGCCCAATTCGCTCTGAGATTCCCCATCGGCCCCGTTGAACCGCCCCTGGAGTTTCCGAATTTCGAAGGGAAAGGGAGACTTACGGGAGTCCTGATTTTCCTTATCCTGCTGGTGACCTTCGTCATCTGAAACATCGGAGAGCGTGTCTCGCTCGGCGTAAGTGTGATCAGGGTCCTTTTGGAAGAACCTATCAGACGCTTCTTCTCCGTCATCCTCGTCAAACTGCTCTTCGTCGTCCCTTTGAAAATCCTTTTGATAAGCATTTCGATAACTTTCTTGATATGCATAATGGTAATTATCGGGATGCTTATCATGACACTTTTTCTGAAATCTATTTTCGTACTTCTGATCCTTTTCCCGATCTGGGTCAGCACATCGATTTTGGAGCCTTATTTCAGCCTCTTCCTCACCTCCGCCCTGAAATCGCTTAATGGTATTACTTATTCTCGATTTGAAGTCCTCCATCGAGAAGGGCATCTCAAAGCCAAGGATATTGGGTCCTGGTTCAGCTCTCGATTGGTTGGCCAAACTGTTTCGCTGACGCCATGTAACATACTGTCGTGGCTCGAGGACCGGATCCGGGCGCTTCCCACGATATTTAAAATATCTAGTAGGCGGCGGTGGACTACGCAATTTGAAGGAACCGAAAGAGGGCCAGAAATTAGGTGGCGGGATGGGCTGCCGGAAGTCCGGCGTTGCTTTCACCGAACCATAGTGCTGCTGAGGCGGGGGAACTGGCTGGAAGCTAGCGGTGATCGGTAGCTTGCACTCTTCGGCGAATTGCTGTTGGGCCCGGTACTTGGCCCGTTCCCCGATCATCGCTATATGGAGATGGCGCTCCGCCAAGCGCCGATTTCTGGGCGTTATCGGACCGAGGAGGATTCGATAGCTCTCACACAGGGTGGATAACTGGTCATCTGTGAGCAGCTGGACACCCCGATAAATTGGACGCTCCTTATTAACAGCATTCTGACGCATGGCTTGCGATGGTCCAAGTGGCTTAGCTGATGCTTTGGAGCATAGTTTGAACACTAAACTCACGGATAATTTTGGAGGCGTATCTCGCAAAGTTTAAATATTAAAGCTGTTTTCCCAAAATTTTGATGTTTCTAATGCTGTCTGCTGTCAATAAAGTTAAAATTTGAATTTTGGTTTGTAAATAATGGAGTGGTGTCAGTTTAAGACTCATAAATTGTATATTATAAAATCTTTCGAATGCAAAAGGTAATAAATCAGAACTGTAGTTGTTGAGAAGTCATCAAAATATACTTGTGTTTTGTTTCTGTTTTATTTTATTTTTCTTTACTATATTTGTTTGTTTGGATGAGTTTCTGGTTCTACTTGGATTATCTTCCCCTTCCGATGGCCCCCAATTTTATATTTCGGGTGCTTTGCTTTTTGTTATGGCCTTTTGTTTCTGTTTTAGGGGCAGTTACTTTTTGGAGAAGGGTTTCAGAATGGCAGGCAAACAGAAATACTCGCATATGGGACCCTAAATAGATCAAAGGGGTCGAAACTTTAAAGGGAAAGTGACGTGTTTTTTAACAAAAGAAAAGTTATGGAACTTTTGTATCGCGAGAATGGTTTCCTTTCCCGCATTTACGAAAACAAAAACTATATTCCGAGGAAATCGAAATATAACATAAAAACACAATAGCTTAATTTAATTTACCGCCTAAGCTAAATTACCAAAATAACATTTAGCAACGATTTTTTAATATATTAATTTATAACATGTTTCTTTACTGATTACAGTTGCGTAGAAACAATACTGTATAATCTATTAATTTTATTCCAGCCTTAGTAAAATGAGCTTTTCTAAAGCTTTTTTCAAAAGGTGGTTAAGCTCGACAAAACTTTTTATTTTTTGTTGAACCATCAACACACTGCCTTACAAACCAATTTAAAAGTTTTCAAGTCAGCATATGCTGGAATTGATCGTCCTTTTTTACCTTTTAACGGGTATCAAAATTTATTTGTGCCCAAAACAGATAAAGATGTGTTGAATATTAGTTGCTTCGGCTTAAAATAAAAATTTCATAATAGTTCATTTAAGCTTTTTTCCAAAGATTTTTAAGCTTGACAAAACTTTTGACTTTTGGTGAACCATCGATACAATGCCTCTCAAACCAAGTTAAATTGCGCCAGAATAAATACAATTTTATAAAACATAAGTTTCCTAAGCCTTGAATAAAAATTTCAAAGTAGTTCGTTTAATATTCATAATGTTTTATTAGTAAAGATATATTTAGACTACGCACAACTACAAACATTTCGATGATTCGTAACCTAAAAAATTGTCCTTTTTGGCTGAAAGCATGGCAAACATTTAAATATTTTAATTATTTTATTGTGTATTTATCTTTTCTTCGTGGGTTTTTCGCAGTGGTGTGACCTAATTTATGTTTATTTTAATAATATGTAATAAATTATTTGTTACTCGTATAAATTGACTGTATGTCTGATTGTAGCACTCTATTATTGTCGTTCAAGAATTCGATTTCCACGCTTTAAATATAAATATTTCCATAAAGTTTTATGTATGTATACTTAAGCTATTAAGTATTTACAAAGCTCAACTATGAACACGAACTTGTAACGGCATTTGAAATTCTGATTCGCTTTGAAATTGATTTTATTTGTTAGTGTGTCAATTAATCTCTTTTCTAATTTAAGTTTGTCATTTTTTATGTTGTTTTGTTTGGCTTTGCTAAGTCAAAAAGTTGTAGAATATTGTTTAACAAATACTATATACGAATCTCAACAATTTGCGACCTAATCAAATGCAATTGCTTAGAGTTGGGATTGTTTGCTTGAAATTAACCTAGGTTTTACCCTTCGATTCGCTTTGCAGTTAATACTAATCATATGGGAGAATGTAATGCAAATTTGAACTCAATTTAATATAATTATATTTAAAAATTATTTACACCTTCAAAGTATCTCTAATTTAGACGATAAATGTTGTTTTGTTTTCATCTTAAATCTCTTATTTCTGTTCTCGCTTTCTTTGATCTTAAATTTTGGGAAAAACAAACTAGTTAACGAATGTGTCACTTAAATTCGTTGCTGTCTTAGTACTTGTACTCTGGCAGAACTCTAGCCTCTGCCGGAGGAGCTGCTTCAAACTGATCAATCTGGAAATTAGATGCGACTTGGTCACCCCAAATTATCCGCAAACAAACATGATGACTCCGCCCCAGCCCCGATTCGATTCGATCCTGCGACGTCCCTTAAAACTCCTCGTCGTCGTCGTCGTAGTCATCGCTATCACTGTCGTTGCTGGGGAGGATGTGGAAACAGGCCCACAGCCGGGACATGTCCACTCATCGTTTGCGGTTATAGGCGCCAAGCGAAGACTGCCTTCATTCCTTCATCTCGTGACCATTGGGTCCCAGCTCGAGGAGCTCATGGGGCTCGGCATTCAGCTGGATAAAAAAAGAGACCAGTTAGATATATAAAAATATTTAAAACAATTAAGGAAATGCAACACATCTCTTGAACTTGAAGTTTAAAGAATTTAGTTACTTCAGTGGTAAAGTGTTTTCACTCACCCTGTCCACGCTGGCCAGATCGTTCTTCGACAGATGATTAACCAAAATAGTGCCCAGGGCATCGCACATCACATTGATGGTGGTGCGGAAGCGGTCCCTGAAAATAAATGGTCTCTCAAATAATAGCCTCTCTGTTTGCAGTTGCTTTGCTTACAGTAACCAGTCGACAGCTATGATGAGGGACACATCCTTCGGCTCCAAGCCCACAGTGTCCAGCACCATGACCATGGTGACGAGTCCGGCCTGCGGGATTCCTGCAGCTCCGATCGAGGCTGCCGTGGCCGTTATGCTGACGGCCACGATGGTGCCGAAGGAGTAGCTCATCTCACGGTACTGGGCGATGAACAGCGCCGCCACAGCCTCGTAGAGAGCCGTTCCGTCCATGTTTATGGTGGCGCCCACGGGTATTACGAAGCGAGTGACCCGCGGGTCGATGCCCATGTTGTCCAGGCACTTGATAGTCAGTGGCATGGTGGCCGAGCTGGAGCCAGTTCCAAAAGCCGTGGCCAACACCTGACTCAGCTTGGCAATGTAGCGGTACGGAAGGCGTCGAGTGCCCAAGAAGAAGATCACAGCAATGGTGCCTAAATGAATAATAATCCATGTATGATGTTTAGAACCTTTCATGAAGTTAACTATGGTGCGTTAAGACTTAAGCTATTCAGTGAATGTATATTTTTTAACAATTGATCAAATTAAAGTGTCCTTTTAAAACATTCCGAGCCCTAATGCTATGATTAATGTATGATACTCAAATTGCAAAAACAAAAATCCCGCACAGACAAAAAAATGGAATAGTAAAAATAAATATCTGACTTTTGAATTCAAAATTGTATACTTAATATTTAAATTAAATCATAATTTAAATGCAATGCTTATTGCAATGCATGTAATGATTTGATATTAAATACTTCAATTAATGTTGAAAATTAGATTTAAAAAGTTCCTATTTGATGTAAATCCATTTTCTTTTATCTAAATATGGTAATCAATAAATTTTCAGATATTAAAATCAATTCCGAATATATCAACTAAAAATATTTCAAAATTTTCATTTTTAAAATAATTAAAAATTGCAATGGATGAAAATCAAAGAGAAAATATTTAAATTGAGTACATAACATTTGATTATTACCATATTTTTATTTATCAGTGCATAGCAACTAACAATTTTTAATCGTTCTCCAATTTCAACCAAAAAAACACGTACATCAAAATCCATAAAAATTTGTCAATCATATTTAAAAAGTTTCAAAAAGTCGATAACTAAAGCAACTGCGCTGTTCTTACTTCATTTTTGAGTACTTACCGAAACCATGCAGAAATAGTCCTATCATGACCGTTATGAAATACCATCCCAACGATTGTATTGTCGCCGCTATGGAGTCCATTTCAATGATCTTAGCGGCTATCAAGAAAGCCACGCCCAGCGGCGAAATCCTAAACATTTGCTTATAAGATTTTGAATTTTCTGCAACTCAAACTGAACTTACCAAATAACCCATGAGGTGATGGTCATCATTGCCTCACTCAGGGTGGTGAAGAAATCCTGCAACAGTTGTCCCTTCTCTCGCATTCTTCCGATGGTGGTACCAAGGATCACACTGAACATCACAAGACCCAGGACATTGGAGCCCTCGCGTTGAGCCGACTTGAACTCCCAGTTTTCCATGGGTTCTATATGGGTAAACAAGGAATAAATCTCTTAACGAGTTTTGGATGGGCAACAGAACTTACGTGCAGGGCTAATGCTGGTGTTCTCATAGATCTCAGTGCGGTGCTGAAATGGAACAGATGTAGATAACAATTTTGTAGTAAAAAACACACCGAGTAAAATGAATTTAAATGTGATTTTATGATCATCGCAAACATGAATAAGCCTACAAAATCGTAAACGCATAATTTCATTGATCTATAAACCCATAGCAAGCTTTTATATCTATTAATATAGCAGCTATTTTGAGTTCCACGTTTTAATCTGGATAAGGGAACATTAGTTTTGTCTGTTATTGTCCTTCATTGAGTCGACAATAATCTAATTGGACGCATGAATATTCATTTAGTTGCCTACCTACATCAGCAGACACACGTATGTGCATATAATTATGGAGGTACAATGTCCACATATCTGCTACAACCCGAGCCAAGTACTTTGATTCAATTTGCGTCTGGGGCCTCCTAAACCGTGTTGATATGACCGATTCCGTCTCCCTCTCTCTCTCTCTCTTTAGATTCGCAGTCTGTCCCTCTCGCCGTACATTCTATAATTGAAATTTAAGCACTGACACTCACTTACACCGAGAACACTTGTGTGAAAGTCCCCCTACTTGAATCTGGTTGGTAATTGAAATTGTGGTATCCCTACCATGTCAGTTTTGATTATGTGTCGCGCTTTGTTTCAATCAAATTCTCGCTAAGCCGCAAAGAATTGAATAATTGCTACCGTTGCTGGGTACCCTTAAATCGCCGTTCAACAGTGCGTATGAACGATGCGCTTAAGATGAGAGACTCACCTGGAACATGGTGGACTGAATGATGTTATCCGTGAACATGTTTCTATTGGAAGAAATAAAATGATTCAGATTGGGGGTTCGTTT